CTAGGATAAATGCAATAGACATGTATGCATGGTTATGAGACCAGATTATGGTAGGATGTGCTCCAGATTGAGCACATGATATTTAATCTGAGCTCATGAGGCCCACCAAGCAACTGAAAAAAAGGAAAGATTATCAGTAGGATTGGAGTAGTTGAGAATGGGGATGGGGAAGGAGGAGAGAGGCAGGTTTTGATATGAGAACAGAGAGGTCAGCAGGAGCCACACCCTGCAGAGTCCCCACAAGCCTCGTTAAATGTTTTGGTCTTTATCCAAGAAGCAATGGGGAGCCATTGAAAAGTTTTAAGTGAGGTGGCAATGTTTGACATAATCATATTTGCTTTATAAAGAGATCATTCTGGTTTCAGAGCTCTTTTGAGCTCCCTGCCACTTGTCCCTGCCCCACAAGCCTCTTGCCCAGTCTGGGGCCATACAATTACTTTGTCGGTGGTGAGGACAGCCACAGTAGGTGACTGAAATCTCGGCCATGTATTTATTGACTCTTGGCTGCCGTTCATAATGAACTCTCAGCTTCCCTGGGGGGTGCTGAGTAGATTTGCTGAGAAGAAGAAGGGGCGGGGGGATTGCAAGGGATGAATATGGGGCTCCGTGTTCTGTTCTCACATTTGTCTCCTTCTATTGACGCCTGCTGCCAAGATGATGTATTAGAATTCAATAAACCTCGCTCGTCTTTTCCTAGAAAGGGAAGGGCTGGTAGGGGGAGAAGCAGGCCCCTCGCCATCAATGAAGGGGGAAGCAGTTCAAATGAATCACTTTATTAACTAGCAGGGGGAATCCGCAGCCCATGTAAGACCATTGCTTGGTTATTAATTCCTGCTCTCACCCAGAATGTTTAACCTTACTGATTCTGGTGGCAGCAAGACCTGTAGACCCTAAGTTGAATGAGATGGCTGGCTCCAGGGCCACTGAGGAAAGCCTTTTGCTGCTTCTGCCTGTGATGTTAGTTCTAAGGGCAGGAGTGAAATCTCACCAAAATGCTGAGGGCTGGCAATGCATATATGCTTCTCACACACCCTCCAGCCTGGGAACATCTGTGATGATAATGGTGTTTGCTGAAGGAGGGCTTACTTTGAACTTGACTGGTGGAGTGAGACAGAAGACATTTGGTTCAGCCAGAATTGCTCTCCTGAACAGAAAATTACCTTTGTTGGAAAAATACTTTGGTTGGTGTTCAGAGTTGAAGGTCATTTTTGGAAGGACCTGGGTGTCTCTCCAGGGTTTGTATGAGGAGGAGAACAACAAGAGGGAAAGATGGCGGTCTACAAGCTGGAGATAACATGGTAGAAAGTCACTCGCTTTGTGATGTGACCATTTCTTATGACCACCTAGCAAATTTCTGAGTCTTTGAAGAATCACAGAAGTATTGATGGGACTTGATTTCTCTTAGACAATGGGGAAGACACAATTTTAGGTATCTCAGGATGAAACCCAGGTGTCAAAAGTGGGTTGACTTCAGTCATGTGTTCACTCTGGGCCAATCATGGTGGCTGGGAGAACATAATGTTCTGATTGACTTGGGTCTGTGTCACACGCACCATGGCTGGAAAGGGAGTAAAGCCCCATTGGAGCACAGGGACTGAGAGCTGGGAAAGTGCTTCACCCAAAGACAACCAATTTTATTGATTGTTTTGTGACTTATCTTTTCTGTGCTCCTTTTGCTTTTACCTCCCATTCTTCCCTCTTTCTCTTGTTTCTTCATTCATTGCCATTAATAGTGAACACAGTTACCCAGGGGCTAACGTGCATCAGATATTATGCTGTGTAATTTCTGTAAGTTATCTCATTAATCTTCATCATAAGTCTATAAAGGGGGACTTATCCCTATTTATATACAAGAAAACTAAGGCACAAAGAGGGTGCATAGCATGTCCAAAGTCATGTAGCTCGTACAAGGCAGGGAAGGGCCAGCAGGATTTTAAATCCAGGTTTTTGCAGCTTCTGTGTCTATCCTCACAGCTATGAATGCATTTTTTCCTCCTTCTCCTTCCCTGTGCTTAGAAAGAAGCAAATGTAAGTGCTCCACTTACTCCAGGAAAGAGGATCTGATGGGGTTGGTTGGTCTCATCCGATATGGAGAACTCCCAAGTCAGAACCTCTCAGAGGCCCCTAGGTGAACTTGCAGTACTGCCTGGGACTGATACTCGGACCTCTGGCCAAGTCCCTGTGGCCAGAGGACAGCCGATGTTACCCAGAGTCTACGGACCTGAGTGGAAGAAAGTGCCTGTGGCCCTTTCTTAGGATGGTGACACAGGCCCAAGAATTTCTCAACTTGACCTAAACCAAGTACTTGATAACCTGATGTTTTCATATCATAGAATGTGAAACTATGAAAGTTGGTCTGGCACCCGCATTTTCCAGGTATAAAAACAGAGACCCGAAGAGAGGAGATGATCAGCTAAGATCTCACACAGGAAATTCATGACCATGGGCATAGACTCTAGGCTCCTTGCACTCCGAATGATTGGCCTCCAGCCCCAAACCAGTAGAGAGAATTAGAAATGCTACTCTTAGATAATTGCTGGCAAAAGGAGTTTGTTAACTTTCTTATTTTCTGCTCCAGCTCACTCTGCTCACTTGCTCAGTTTTTTAGAAAAGGTTGTTTAAAAAAATATCCAGGCTCATTCTGATGTTTTATTGATGGAGACGACTGGTGTTTCCATAGTATTAATTAGGGCTGCATTTTATGGTATTCAAACCCCAGGGAACATCAAGGAAAGGGAGCCACTGAGCAAACTATGGGATCAAATGAATAGATTAATTAAATATCACCATTATGCCGCTTGAGGTGGGCCAGCCTACAGCCATTCCCTCCCTGATCTGGGGAAGGAAGTGGAAGGAGGGAGGCAGGAACAACAGGGCTGAAGACATGAGGGCAGGTTTCAGTTACACACCAGCCGCTCCTGCTTTTCTCAGCCAAAGATTTCCGTTTCTTATGTGTAAAGGCAAAACAAGCAGGGATGTATCCATTGGTCACTTCTTCCCCACTGTCCCCTTCAAGATGCATAAAGTCAAAGCTATTTTCTCTGATGTGTTTATTTTATTTAGCACTCACATCTCGCTTACTGTATGCCAGGGTCAGTGCTCAGTGCTTTCCAAAACCAGCTCACGTACCTGTTACAACAACTCTATGAAACAGATATCATTGTATCCCCGTCTTACTGATGAGAACATTGAGAGAGTGCCCAAGGTGTCATGGCTTCTAAATGGCAGAGCTGGAATCCAAGTCTAGGCTTTCAGTTCAGTCCCTGGTCCTAACCACTGCCCTTCTCTCTCTCTCGTTATTAGTAATGGCTCCCTACTTTGTGAGTCCAGGGCCCTGAGGTTAGTTTGTTTTCTGTGTCCTTAAGCCTCCACCTCTGTTGGGCTCTTCACCTCACTGGATCAGCAGCTGGGCCTCAGCAGGACGAGAACCTTAACTCCAGATTGGCACCTTACTTTGTATGGTAAGAAGTCAGTCTTCAGCTCTTGATCACTTGCCTTGGAATCCAGGTTTAGCCACTGTCCAGCTGTGTGACCTTAGTTAGTCACCTAACTTCTCTGTGTCTTACTTCGTTTATCTATAAATGTGGGCAATAATAATACAGAACAAATGAGTTAATATGTGAGAATCTTTGAAACAGTATCTGCCATGTGGAAAGCACTAAGGTCTGATTTACTGTTATTTTCATATTATTATTATGATAGTCTCCTTCCTAATGGGCTTGAGATTCTCTCAGTCCTTGACTTCGAAGTTGTTTTCTGTTTTCAGTCCTGACTTGCTCCTCAGATCTCAATTTGAGCTGCTCCCCTGGCTCTGAACTTTGCCTTCTCAATGCCATCCTGATGTCTTGTCCTTTCACATCCTTGCCTCATGGGAAGCATTTTTCTTGGTCTAGTGCAGCCTTTGGCAAGAGACACCCTTTGATACCAAATACTTGTCTTTCGCCCTCAGAATCAGCACTGTCTGTGGCTCCAGTTGCTCTTGTAAGGACAAGGGTCTGCTGGGTTCCTAAATTCTAGCCCCCCCCCCAAAAAAAAGTAAAGCAAACTCCATTTCTTTTTTCTTTCTTTCTCTCTCTCTCTCTCTCTCTCTCTCTCTCTCTCTCTTTTTTAAGAGAGATTTTTGCCATAGGGTGTGCACCCTTGCCAGAGAGACAGAAAGCAAGAATTTACCTCCCTGGAGGATGGCCATGCCACAGTCCCTTCTCCTGCAGTCTCCTCTAGAGGTCGTGGGCACATGTGCATATGCATCTGGCATGAGTTTTAAGCCACCAGGTTCAGGACTCAAACTGTGATCAATTAAGTGGGAGTCCAGTGATATAACCATTATGCCATTTCTCCATTTCTCACACCCCTGGCTGTCAGTTACCCAGATGAAAATGTTTGCTGAGAACTTTTAGATCCAGACATTGTAGGGACATGAAAGACATAAAACAACCCTGCACTTAAGAATTAAAACAATTGAAGGAGGGAATTCCCATAACAGAAACTTTACCTTTCTGGCCATTTTAAAGTGTACAACTCAGTGGTGGTGAGAGCATTCATAATATTTTGCAATTGTCATCACTCTAATCTTGGAACTTTTGCATCAGCCCAAATGGGAACTCCATACACATTCCCGACTCCTCCCCTCCTTAGCCCCTGACACCCACTGACCTGTGATCTCTCTATGGAATTGAAGAATATTTAAATGTACTTGCACAAACAAAAGTTTGCTAACAGGAAGAGGCAGTGGGTACCACTATGCTGTGGGGACAGCATAACTTGGTGATTGGTAGTGTGGACTCTGGAACCAAACTGCCCAGGTTTAAATCCCAGCTCTGCTGCCTATTGCTGTGTGGTCTTGGATAGATTAATGTATATCTCTGGTCCTCAATCTATATACATGTATAAGGTATAAAATGATGGTTACGGAAGTGCCTCCCCCATAGATCAGTTGTGAGGACTCAGTGTTTCAATGCAGAACAATACCTAGCTATAGTAATGCTGTGTACGGATTTACTTATGTGGGTGGATGCTAAGTCCTGTGGCTCAGTATATTGTAACTTTCTGGGAACAAAAAATCTTTTCTATCTTGTCTACAAGGGAATCTCCTGCACCTAACATGATCCTGGCCTTCAGCCGGCACCCGGAAACTGTTTGGAAGGGGGAACTGGATGGTGGTATAGTGCTAAAACACGGTGCTCTGAGAGCCAGAACTACATGAGAGAGTTGTCAGTTCAAGTCCAGAGACCTAGGTATGCTGGACACATGAGCACCCATGATCCAGGCTGGCTGAAGCTTGGATGCATTGTAGCCTCGGGTCCCTGTCAGGGTACTGTATTTCTGCTTTTCTCTCTCTCTCTCTCTTACTCATGGAATAGATAAACTTTACAAAATATATTTGTTGGATGATTGAATAAGGGTGGTCAAAAGAGGGGAGATTATTGAGAAATCCTACACTCAATGTCAAAAACCACCCATGACCTTTTAGTAAACCACATTGAGAATGAGTGCTGGATATTGTGTGACCCATTACAGGCAGAACAGAAAACCAGGCCTGTCCCCAACATAAATATATGATAATGATTATAACAAAAATTCATCAAATATCCATGATTTGTTGAACACTTTACATGTGCCTGGTATTGTGCTAAAAAACCTTATGTGTAGCCACTGATTTATGTGTGACTCAATCTGTGAGACAAAACCCACTAGCACAGTACAATGTTAGCAATGGAAAGCTTGCTTTTTTTTTTTTTTAATAGAGCAAAATGTCAACAAGTGCAAATGAACCCTGTGATAATTGAGTCCATATGGAAGGTAGGGATGCTAAGAAGAGCCAGGTGAGGACAACCATGGAATTCTGATGAAACATCTGTATCCATGATCCAGCCAGCCTGTTAATCATCTGGATCTGCCTGAGCTGTTGATTGCTTTTGGTTTTGCATTTTTCTTTTCTCATTCTTTAACATTCACCTTAGACTCCCGTATAGGACAGATCTTATCCTGCTTGCTACCTTTCCAGACACGCATGGAGGGAATGGCAAAGAGAATGTTAGCAGATGCCTCAGCAAACCAGGTCCTGAGAGTGAGCGCTCTTGTCCCTGTCTCGGGGACAGTGCTCAAAGCTGGCTAATTGGATCTAGGGCAGGGTTATAGAAGCAGGCGTCAAGGCGCGATGGCCTGAATCAAACCCCAGATTAATTAGAAAGTGTCCAAGTGGATTGAATATTTCATGACCTGAGGGCTGAAGTCAAGGTCTCTTTGGAATAGAAATCAGAAGTGAATGTGGGTAGAGGGTGGAGGTGGATGGAAGCAGAAGGAAAGTAAGAGAGGGCAGGGGAAAGGAGGAGGGGGAGGAAAAAGAGAAGAGGACAGAGAAAGGGAGGGAGGAAAGGAAGAGAAGGAATATATGAATGAATGAATATAACTTCTCACCTCAGTCACTGAATGATCTCAGAGGGTGATGTACCTTCCATGTTATTATTTTAGCTGATCTTTCAATTATTCTGTGAGGGTAGAGTCTGCTGCTGGTGCTGCATGAGTTAAAGAGACTGGAGGTGGGGAAGGATCAACCTCCTCCCTCTGATTCCTGAGTTTCAGATGCCACTCCTCTGTTGATTTGGAAGGAATCAAATTTCCCACCTTCCAAGTAATAGGTTCTCAGAGCCAAGAGGAAATGCCCATTTCCCACCTTCCAAGTAATAGGTTCTCAGAATTTGGGGAGACAGTTATTCCAGAAGGACATTTTTTTTTGGTTCCATTTCTCTATCAAAGAATTATTTTAGCAGAGGGGAAAGAATAGTAAGCTGGGAGGAAGTGTGGATTCTCTTGAGAGACTGGAAAATTCCTTCGTCCCCTGGTCTTTCTTGGAGACACGACTATATTGTCTATTGTCTCTGTCTGCTATTACAGTGTGTGGGGGTCTGACCATGTCTGTGTTCTGTCTTTGTGTATCTGTCCTGAGTGGCCTTGGGTTTGCCTGTCTTGCTGCCCGCTCCTTTCTCTGCCTCTTCTTGCTGTGTCCTCCCATCTCTCTGGCTCCAGCTGTCTTCATAGCCCAGTCTTTGCCTTCTGTCTGCTTCCCTGTCTCTGCCCTCCTCTCCCTCTGCCTTTCCCCTACTCCTATCTGCTTTGTGCACATTCTGTCACTACCACCTTCTCTGTCCTTCTCCTTCCTCTGACTTTCTCCTCTTCCCGCTTTCACACTTCTGCCTCTTTTTCCTCTCCGTTCTCTTTTTCCTACTCCTTTAAGGTTTTTTTGTTGGCTTTGGTCAATTCCAATCAATAAGTATTTCTGGATCCCCTATCACAAGCCAGACACTGAACCAGGGGCTGCTTAAGGATACAGACCCAACTGGTCCTTCTCTGCAAAAGATGCTTACTTGATCAGAGGTTCAGCGACTTAATAAAATGTTTTATTTTCCAATCAGCCTCAACCTGCAGGTGGTCTTGAATATGATCACCTCCTGGAGGAGTGGTTGGGATGACAGAGCTATAAGCAAGAAGGGAAGCTGGAGGTTGCTTAGTCCAGTGGGCTGAGTAGGCAGAGGACAGGTGCCTGTGTTGGGCATGGTCATGCCACAAAGGGGCAGCTTCTGCTCTTACCTGCATAGAAAGGTGGCCCCCTTCAGGGGGCCGGTTCCATCACCTCTCCTTCCTCTCCAGCCTCTTTTTAAGGACTACTATATTACATAATCAGTGTGGTCCAGACCAAGTAATTCAAGTTGATGACTTCTCAAATAAAACACAAGACTGAGGGAGCCTCATGGCTCTAATTATTTTGCCAACTCGTTGATCTGCATATCAATTTCCCTCCCCTGCACAATTCATATTCTATACATCTGGTTGGCAGAGAGGATGCCTGGGGAAATTACATGGCTTTGCACATAAGATTTGTTAGAAGTTGGAGGAGAGACTATCTTATTTCACTTGATAATCTCTTATTTATGGGTTTGTTCTTTTCTTAATATTAATGAGACTTACTATCTCCATCTTGCTGTGACAGCTTTATCAACACCTCTGTGGCTGCATTTCTATTCAGGTAATAGAACTGCAATCAGATTGAACAGGCATAAATAACAGGAAAATTCACTGGTTGGGAACGTCTGCAAGCCCAAAGGCCCAGGCCTTGCAGAAGCTGCCTGTTGTTGTGGGCTGTGTATTTGCTGGTTGCTCTGAGATCCAGAGCCTACAATATCCACTGCTGACAAAGTGAGTTTTAGTTTTTAAGTGTATTTACTTCTTTCATGGACAAGAGAGACAAAGTAAGAGAGACAGAGAGAGTGAACACTCCCAATGTGATCCCGGCACCCTGATCGACACCTCACCTTCAGGACAGGTCGTGCTCAGTGTAGGCAGGGAGGTCTCTAGACTTGAACTGGCAATCTTCCGTTGTGGATGTGCCTTGCATAGCATCGTGTTTTACTGATATATCATCATTTCGTCCCCCAGAGGGGGTTCAGATCCTTTCCTTCCCAGTAGTAGGTACTATAGGAGAGGCACGGGTTTTCAAGTCAGACTGACCTGGTTTTGCATCATGTCTCTATAGATTAAAAACTATAAACTTCTTCATTAGTAAAACAAAACAAAAATTTAAAGAGCTCTATAGTATTTGTCAAGTACTCGTGAATGCTTTGTTTAGCATTTCTTCAATTCTCATAAATGCTATAAAACCCAGAAGAAAAATGGAATAATACACACATACCCAGACTTTCACTTTAATTCAATAACACAATCTGTTTTAATTCACTACTGCATATCCTACAGAGGTATCTGAAACTGGGTGATTTGGAAGAACAGAGGATTAGACCGCTCATGACTTGGAGGTACAATGTCTAGAGGCCAACTTCTCATGAGGCTGCAACAGGGCAAGAACAAGCTCTTGAGCAGAGCAGCAATTATCTACATGTTCCTGTCTGTTTTGGTCTCCTTTCCCTTCTTATAAACCAAGCAGAAGTCAATCATTAATTACCTTTTTTACATCCAAAACTTATTCACACCTTTGCGATATAACCAAATCCCAAACTGTAGCACATACTTTAAAAATATTTTATGATTATATGTTGTATTTGTCAATGAAAAGTTTGGAAAAGCTATGCAATTTATCCTAGGGTCCTTAGAGAATGAGGAGGCAGACAAGGCTGCTATCAAGGGCTACACAAGTTGGGTACTATACAGCTTCAAGAAGGGCCCTTCACTTAGACAAGGGGTGGGTAAACTACAGTCTTGGAGAGACAAATCCAGCCCATGATCTGTTCTTGTCAGATAGTTTTATCAGAACAAGTTTTTCATTCACATATTTTTCCACATTGCTTTTGTGTTATACCTACAGAGCTGAGTAGTTGCAACAGGGACAGCCTAGCCCAGAAAGCTCAAAATAATTGACTGTCTGTCTCTATGGAAAAAAAATGTTTACTGACCCCTGATCTAGATGACTATTTGATCTCTTTTGAGCTGGTCAGTATGACTGCCCAGGAGCCAGATATGCACATGTGTCTGGTTGAGCTCTGAGTGACAAGGTAGCTATGAGACTTAGGAGATAAGAATCTCAGTTTCACAGGTATTTACACACAGGATCCAAGATTTGGGGACAAAGATGGTTATTACAACACTATTTCTACAGGGAAAATTTAGAAATAATCTGAAAGCCAATCTTTAAGGACTATGGCTAAATAAAGGAAGGTACAGCCATACAATGCAAATCATGTAACCATTAAAGTGAATGAAGCAGACCTATTCATACTGAAAGTTGTCCACAGCAATTCACACAATCATACATCTATATCACTGTGCAAGCTCTCTTTCTACTGTATTTTGTTACTCCAAAATGCCACTTAGTGCAAGATGCACCATTATTTTATGTGCCAATAAGAAGCAAAGAAACTGGCCACTGTACAATGCCTTAAATTGTAAGATGCATCTTTATTTCGGGAATCTTACATTTTAAAATAAAAGTGCATCCTAAAAAGACGAAGTATAGTCCGTTTATTTATTCATATAAGAATATGTGAATTGAGAGAAATGTTAAAAAAAATCTGAATGGGTGTACATCAAAGGGTATGGAAATTATCTCCAGGGCATAAGAGAAATTGGAGGTTGGGAGTGAAAAGGAGCTTCCACTTTAAAATTTTTACCCCTGAATTATTTAAAAGTTTTACGATAAGTATGGATTACTTATGTAATTTTAAAAAGTATTTTTAAAAGAAAAAAAATTGTCTATAAAGTGACTTCCCAAGTACATCACACAAAGTTGGAGGATAACTATTGTGTTGTTGGGAAAGTCAACATTTTTGCATAGAAAAATATTGAAAAATATGTCATGACTTTCCAGACAGTCTAATAGTTTCAAATCTCTTCTCTAGTTGACCACCAAGAAGTCATTTAATCAAGAGAGACAAAACGTTGGGAACATTTTCTAAGCAAAAGATAAATGATAAATTTAAAGTGTAGTTGCTACTTATAAAGGATTTCTGCTTGCTGGTACACATTTGGTCAATTTTTTATCTTTTATTTTCTGCCTTTTTTTCCCCCAAGACAATTCCTCTGTTAATTATAGACTATAATGAACTCTACAAATAACCACAGTTCAGCTCAGCCTTTGCTTGCATACCATATATACTTCAAAAGACTCTGTTTAACTGAACAATGAAAATGTAGTATAATAATTACCATAAGAATTATCAAAGGACAAGATAGCTAATGCAGTCTGTACTTCCTGAAAATGACAGACATTGTTGGCTGCTTTATCAGTTTGAAAGACTTTTGGCTACATGTAATGTATTTAAATACTAATGGTTAAATATGAAAGACAATTATATAATTAATATAACTAAAAAGTCCAGAAAAAAACTATCACCGTGTTACTTCAGTGGCTCAAGGATGTAATTAGGGAGCCAGGCTCGTTTCATTGTTCCACTCCATCCTTATCAGCTTACTGGTCTTTCATATTTAGTCTTATAGCCCCACAGTCACAAGATGATTGCTGAGGCTCCAGGAATCAAGTCCTCACACAAATAAGTCCAAAGCCACAAATCAGACAAGGAATCAGGGAAGGGAGAGAAAGCACTCTCATGTCTTTATCCTTTTATCAAGGAGAAAAAGAACCCTACACAATGTCTCCTTACATGCAAAGGCCTAGAACTATAGTAGATCACTTCTAGCTGCAAGGGAAGCTAGCCATCTTGCTTATTTAGCTGCTCTAGCAGGAAATTGGCAAAGGTAGAGACGTTGAAGTGGTCTCTAGCTGTGCTAGCAGCTGTTAATTCCTCACTTTTTCTCTTGACAACACATCTGATTTTATTCAGAATTGTGAGTTGAGAAAGGATGGGTCATATCTATTCTCAAAGAATGAACTATGATTAGATTAAGACATTTAATACCTCTTGCCAGTTAGAGAATGAGATGCAGTCCTGGTCCACGAGATTTGAGAGAATGTGCCTCAGAAGTCTGAGGAGCTTCTGGGAAACTTATCTTCTATCTTAGAAAGGAAAGAATATACCTTCTTCCTCTCCTATAGGATTTGATTTTTTTAAAAGAAAATGGTATTGCCATAGGGCATGTGTGCTTGCCAGAGAAAGACAGAGACATAGGGGAAAAGCACCTCCCCCATGGGGTATGTAACACCATAATCCTTTCTCCTCTATTTCTCCATCTTGTTGGGATTGGGGGCATATTTTAGTGTCTCACACTTCTGGGTTTTGCATGCATGGGTATCAACTCAGGTTCCATAGCATCCAACAGCTTGGCATTAACAGATAAGATAGCAAGGGAGATAAGAAATATGTGGTGCCATTTTAGGGATAAGTAGAGATACAGTTAGATCATACTTAATCTTGTGGAAATCCCAGGGTTGGCTAGAATGAATTGGGTGATACAGTGTCTGATACAGTCTGCTCCTTGAATCAAGTAGATCCCCTCTTGACCTCTACTTTTAAAAAGATGGAGGTCAAAATAAGATTTTTTTTTAAAAAAAAGCCCTTACTTCTCTCCTGATAGAAAAGGTACAAGTCTAATACATTACATAGAGTCCCCCTTAGGGTGGACTCAGAAAAGATTCAAGGAAAGTGTATGAGTGACACAAACTATGATACTTGCTGTTGTGGTTGGTTGTGAGCTCATCATTCCCATTCACCATCTTTACTCCTCACTGTGCTGGGCTAGCTGAGCTAGTCGAGCTTGTCTAGATTGACAAAGAAGCCTCAGCTCTTATTGCCTTGCCTTTGTTAGGCCATGATTCTTGAAACCAACAGATTGCTACGATGATGTGTCACGAAAACACCGAAAGAGGCCCCTGTGAATTATCCCTGACTTCGTTGTGTAATGGCACTTCTAGTTAATCAGGTGTTCGGAAACAATGAACCCCATCAGCATTGTAACCCGTTTCTCTGACTATTGGCCCACTGGCACGAGGAACCCAAAGCATTGAGATCAGAAGTGGCACATAAGAAGGATGAAATATCAGAGTAAATACCTTATTGTTTAAGACATTTTGAGTTGGATATTGTCTTTACCGGCAGTCTAATACATCCTGGCTAATATGTCAGAGGAAGTGACAGTTAAAGCTGAGATCTGAACAAACAGTAGAAATTAAAATGGGCAAACATGATGGGCAAGCATGCTTCAGGCAAAAGGAAAAACATTGACAAAAGTCTATAAAGAGAATCAAAATGTGAAGTGTTTGGCAACTTAAAATGATTGAGTACAACTGGGATCAAGATTAGTATAAGAGTCGCTCGTTAAAGATTCCTCTATAATGCTAGCAGTTTTCACAGATGGCATTACTGCCTTTGAGAAATTATTAAGAGAAATCTGTGTCGCTAAACTAATAGCTTGAGTGGATTTGTCTTTGAAGAATTAAATAACATTGGCTCATCTCCCCCACTGGATCCCATGCTATTAGATTAGACTTCCCACAATTTTCCTAAATACTATGGCTTAAGTTCTTATCTTGAGCTCTAATTTCCATTACTGTTAGATACATTTGTCTCTGGCTTTCCATGCTCGCTTTTGTTTTTGTTTTGTTTTCTTCTTGTCCACATCAGCCTAAACATGTAACAAAGCTACTTTTCCTGGCCTCTCCAAAATGACAGTCAGCCAAGGAAACTGTATAAAGTCAAATTTGAAGGGAAATGGGGATAGTGCAGGGACAGTAATGAAAAACGTTATATTGTATCATAACCAATGGAGTAAAATGAATTACCAGAGGGGCCAGCAGGAGGCATAGTGGTAAAGGCGTTGGACTCCTACATGGCTGACCACAGCTGGAGTCCCAGACCTGGTGGTTTGAAACTCATGCTGCATGCATACCTAAGATCCCAGGAGGGGAAGGGATTGCAGCATGACCATCCCTCTCGGGGGTGTGATTCTTCATTTCTCTCTCTCTCTCAAGCATACACATCCTATAGCAAAATTCTCTCTCAAAATGAAAAGAAAGAAAAAGAACGAAGAGAGAAAAAAAAAAGGGGGGAAAGAAAGAAGAAAAAAAGGAA